CGTACGAGAAGGGCGGGGGGGGGGGGGGGTTGGCACGTAGGAAAAGCTGTGTGGTGACAAAGAAAGCCCCGGGGCCGGAGCGGGCACCGGCCCTGACCACCTGTATCTCACTGTCCTGTTTGTTCTCTCCCACCAGCTGATCTACATGATGGCTACTACATATAACTATGCTGTTTTGAAGTTTAAGAGTCGGGAAGACTGCTGCACTAAATTCTAAATTGCCTAAGTCCAACAAGGAGCTTTAGACAGCTCTGCGCGGTAGCCTGAAAGATCACTGACCCCACCCCCTCCCCCCCCAGATGAAAGCAGAGTCAGATGCTACCGTTTTGCTACAGTCATTTGTACATAGCTTTAGTCGACTCACTTTGCCTTGTAGATTAATAACATGCCTCACCCTAAGTGAATTACAAACCATGAGATCTGGCTTATTTCCACGGTGTGAAAAGGATTCAGTGATTTACTGGCATTGGGTGAGCATCCGGTAAAAAAAAAAAAAAAAAAGAATTTTCTTGACCTTTGAGGGGTTCTCTAAGTGAAGTATTAACACTCTGTAATACCTGCATTTTCCGTTATTTTTGCTTGCTTGATAACCAACAGGAGTGCTCCACAGGAGATGGAAGACAGATCCGTTCTGATCTGCGTTTTGTTGTGTTAGACTCTGGAAAAAAAAAAAGGACCTATTGTAAAGTTGATTACAAAATTTTTTGCTGATTCCCCGGTTCACTGCCCCATACGTGCCCCTCAAGTAAGTCAGCTAGAGGTTTCAACCGGGGGGGAGGGTTCTTCTTTCCGCACACCACAGCCCTCCCTTGCCGAGGCGCAGGATGGGTAACCTTGCCCCTGTGTTTTGGCGAGCAGTGACCGACTCCTCGTAGCCCGCTCTCAACCCGCACGTAAGATTTTAACGGCAAGAGCAATCGTGCCTGCCGTCGGAAAGCCTCCGCTACGTTGAACAGGAGAGAGGAGGAACTCGAGGTGTAGATTTTGCAGGGAAGACCAGGAAAGTAGGTGGGAAAGAAGTGTTTGCTACATGAAGTGTCAAGGATGAGGATTCTTCCATTCTGTGACAGGCAGGAAGGGCCGTGACCCAACGGAAGAGGTAGCTTCCCGGCTCAAAACGTGTTAACACGGACCGCATGCTTGTTTGCGTCTAGTTCCTAATTCTATTGGTTTTGACATTCGCGTAAGTTTTCCGTGTTACGTGTGTAGTTTCGCATCTACTCAAAATACACATCGTTCACTTTTAGGCCTCTGGGGAACTGGTTTATTAGCCACCGACAAGCTAGAACCTTGCACTACACTTATTTCCAACTCCGCACACGCCGTGTCTGAACGTCTGCGCGAGTTTTTAAAATGGCTCCCGGGCCGGCGGGGGGGGGAGGGGCGGCCCCCCCCTCCTGCTTCCTGTTTGCTTTTTCTTAACAGCAACTTGGGCCATGTTTTCCAGTTCATCACGTTGGTATACTAACTCTCCTTCCGCCTCTTACTCGTAAGCGTCCTCGTGGAGCTCGCTGCCGGGCTCCGACGGCTCTGCTCGCACCACGAGTATTAATGCAGAATAACCCTCTCCCTTTTTACAGTCGGGAGCGTCTAACCTGCCTCGCAGCTCGCTTTGCCTTCTGCCATGCTCACTAGCCATCATGCGCACCCTTCTCTTCCAGATCCACTTCCTCATGATACTGTCTTCTAACTGGGCTTACTTAAAGGACGCCAGCAAAATGCAGGCTTGCCAGGATATCAAAGCAAAGGAAGAGCAGGAGCTGCAGGATATCCAGTCTCGGTCCAAAGAACAACTCAATTCTTACACATAAACGTTTGCCAGAGCATTACCGCCGCCGAAGTGACAGTTCTGACAAATCCACAGACAGCTGCTCTGCCGTCCAGATGTGTCCCCCCACCCCCCCTTACCCCCCACCAAACTAATGTAGAGGTACAAACACTTCACTGTCTGTCTCGAGCTGCTGGGAGGGATTTCTAGGAACACCTGCCAGGAGGCCAGTCTTTTTCTTTAGCGCAGATACCGGAGGCTTCACGTTAGCCATTTTAAAAGGCAACACTTGGACAAAACGATGGCTCAGCTTTCTGAGATAGGTGGCCTGTTCCCACTTAGCCGTAGAGCAAGCCTCCCGCGAGAGAGAGGCCACGGGCATGTGGCATACTGCTGGAGCGGGACCGCCGATGGGCCGGCACGAAGCAGTGTGACCGTAAATTCTCATGTGCCCTCTGTCCGCGGGGCTTACCTGGGTAGGGAATAGAGTACCATTTCTGACAGCTGACATTTATTAAACTTGGGTTCCGAGATCATGTGAGTCTTAATGATTGAACTCTTTGTTTCAATTAGCTGCCGTCCCTACCCTTTAAGTCCAGGACCTGTTCCTCTCCCGATCCAGTCGGAAATCTATTTTTCAAGAACGCTGATAACTATAATTCGGCTACACCTACCCTTGAGGAAGCTGGATTGTGGCCCATCAATTCTATAATAGCTTTCCTCTAATCCAACGGCCCAGGTGGCGTTGTCGTTCCTGGGGAATAAATGTCAGCTCTGCCTTAATGAGTATCTGTTTTCAATTTCTAAGAACTTAATTTTACAACAGGAGACCCCAAATCCCTCATCGCCCTTGGTTCCACAAATGTTTTTCTGAATTAAGAAGTGTTACCTTATTAAAATGACCACCGTTCTAAACCATTTTTACGTGGTCTCAATAGCAAGTTTACAGTTTCATACCAACTATCTAAAACCGAATTACAAATAGACCACAGACCTCCTACTTTTCTAGACTTGAATACTTCAGTAGTTTAAATTAGGGTTGGTATTTAGTTCCTTTTTTAAATCTAAATCATTCCTGGAATAATAAAAGTTTGATGTTCAGCAAAAAAAAGAAAAAAAAAAAGAAAAAAAAATCCACCTTGAGTTTAAGCCATTTTCAAAAGAAACTTGCCTTCTAAATCATTCTGTTCCAGAACATTAAGTGATTAGAGGTATTGGGTATTAGTGATGGTAAACTTTGTGTTGCTCTTTATGAAATGATACATATAACCGTTGGGTGCATCCGTGCTTTTAAAAGGGGCTGCATAATATAGGATTAACTCTGTATATTCATGTTAAGAATTAACTTGTGGTTTGGCTGTTTCCTGGATTTTAAAACATACACGTGTGCAGAAATGTCTTAAGATGAAAGGAAGCATACCTTTGTCAAGATGCTATTAAAATTGAACATCAAGGATAAGATTTCATTTGGATTCTTTTTGTTGTTGTTGTTAATGCCTAAAAATGCCTATTTGGATCTTGACTTTTTTTTTCTTTAATTGGGAGAAGCTCTCTTCTGTGTAGAACAGTTGTTCCAGAATAGCTAGTTTTGTTTTCCTGTTGCATGACAGACTTCAATATTTTTTTTTTTTTTCCAGCAGTGGAGGTGCTGTTAGAGTCCAGTGTTCTAGAAGAGGCAGTGTCTAAAGCCTAATTTTACTTTTCTAATTCTGGTAGCTATTACCAAGAATTTTTGAAAGTTTTGTTTAAGTAGTCTAATATTTTTTATGTAAAGAGCATTAAATTTTGCTATGTATAAATTTTTGTAACCTAACAGTGAATCAATATTTTCTATCAGTGCCAAGGGCTTCCTGTAGTTCTATTCAAGTGTTACAATAAATATTTGTAGATAATAGTCAATACTTGTGTATGCTTATTTTAAATATCTATTTAGGTGGAAATAGTTGTGGATGTACTAAGAGTAATGCAATAAAAGTATAGCTTCACTCACTTGCCTTTTTACCATACATAAAATACTCTCTTTCTGTGTCTGCAGTACGGTGTCATTTTTAAACAGTACGCATCATCGACATTTCACGTGTGTATGGACATCACGTTTCTACGAAAATGCTACCGACAGCTCTAGAGTTCTGTGAAGTACAGATACTTCAACAAACGAAAGCAATTATAGGTATGGGGTTAACACAAAGCTCAGGTTTGGGGAAAGTAAGAACAAGGACCGTCCTTCCTAAGGGTCTGGGCACCCGTGGCTCCTGTACAAACCCAAAGTGTAAAAGTCTACTGAAAGAAGATGTATGCGGGAATGGCAAAAGATCTCGATCCGACAGGCACTCTCTAAGCAGGCAGTCAAATGAAAATCCCAAGTAACAAACTAAGCTCTGCTGCTGTAAACTACTTACCTGTTGGCACGAGTCTGCATTTGGATTTTCTTCACCTGACTTTTCTAAGCATCCGCTCTTGTCCCCTACTGAGACCTTGCCTTTCTAAATGAGGCGCCACCTCGGGATCATCACCCTTCCCTAGGCTCGGCAGGAGAACAATCAGGAGCCCAATGAGGATGCTCTTTGCCACACGCCCTAATACCTCCTGTGTCTGTGGCATTTTGTGCGATTGTTATAGGAGTCCCCTGAACAATTAGCTATGTATAAATCCGGTCTAGATAAGATCGCATGCAATCTTTTAGTCAATGACAGTACTCCTACCACAAAGTACTGGAACCTCTAGAAGGCAGAGGAGCGATTTTTCATTTCTCTAGTTTTACCTTGTGAACTTGACTTTTTAAGAGATGAAAATAAAGCCACGAGTCCATTAAAGAATGATAACTGGGGTGCCTTTAGCGTCCCACTCGATTTTGCCTCAGCTCCTGCTCTCACAGTTCATGAGTGAAGTCAGGTTTGGCAAAGTCCTTTTCCCCAACCGTGTCCTAGCCTTCCTCACTGTTTTGATAGGTGAACTTCACCTACCTGGGGAAGATGTGAACAGAGATGCATTCAGAGGTCCTTGTCCAGTGGGGGGGAGCAGGGAAGCCTACAGGGGAGTTCCCACATCGCACGGCATGCATCCAAAGCCATCTGAAAAGATGCGTTTCCCCTTTTGGGGCACCTGGGTGGCTCGGTCGGTTAAGCGTCCAACATCAGCTCAGGTCATGACCTCACGGTTGGTGGGTTGGAGCCCTGTGTCGGGCTCTGTGCGGACAGCTCAGAGCCCGGAGCCTGCTTCGGATTCTGTCTGTCCCTCTTTCTGCCCTTCCCCTGCTCACACTCTCTCAGAAAGTAAGTGTTAAAAATGACCTTAAAGTGACTTACCTGAGGGTTCAAATTAAGTTCCATCGATGCTTGGAGAGGTCCAAACAACACACAAACTGAAAATTTCAACAAAGAGAACATATTAAGAAGTATCCAATCACACTGAACATGATAACTGAAAAATTCAGTACAGGGGTTCAACAGCAGACTAGATCAAACAGAAGACAGGATCAACCAACTTGGAAGAGAGGCCAGTATAATTCCTCCTGCCAGAGAGCCAGGAAGCCTGACGGGTTCCAAAAAAATACCAATCTAAAGAAATGCACTCCGAGTCCTATTACAATTGAAGTGTCAAAATTTAAAGACAGAGTCTTAAAGCAGAAAAAGAAAACCTTGTAACGTACAGGGAAACCCCATAAGACTATCAGTGGGGTTTTCAGCAGAAATGCCGCAGGCCAGAAGGGAGAGGCAGGATACATTCAAATTGGTGAAGAAAAAAATAACTACCAAGAACACTATACCTGCAATGTTGTCCTTCCGAACTGAAGGAGACACCAAGAGAGTACCAGACAAGCAAGGGTTCAAGGAGTTCAGCACCACTAGACCAGCCTTCCATGATAAAGGGAGTTCCTCAGGCTGAAATGAAAACAGGCTAATTAGCAACAGGAAAACCTATCAAACTATAAAACTCATCGGTAAAGGTAAACATACAGTTAAATTCAGAATACTCTAATGTATGAGGTTGGGTAAATCACAACTCTAGGATGAATATTAAGAGACAAAAGTATTAAGAATAACTATATGATAATTTGCTAACGAGTATTAAGAACCCAAAATGGGGGACGGGGCACCCGGCTTGCTCAGTCAGTAGAACATCTCTTGACCTCATGATTGTGAATTTGAGTCCCATATTGGACGTGGAGGCTACTTTAAAAAAAATGGCAGGGGGAGAGTATAAATGCAGAGCATTGGTCTATGTTCAAAGTTAAGTTGTTAGGAGCTTAAAAAGACTGTTAAACATACATTTTATGTAAGCTCCTTGGTAACCACAAAGCAAAAACCTGTAGTAGATACACAGAAGATGAATCCTAAGCATACCACTACTCAAAATCATCAGGGACGCCTGCGTGGCTCAGGCGGTTGGACATCCGACTTTGGCTCAGGTCATGATCTCACCATTTGTGAGGTTGTGCCCCACGCCAGGCACTGTGCTGACAGCTCAGAGCCTGGAGCCTGCTTTGGGTTCTGTGTCTCCCTCTCTCTCTCTGCCTCTCCCCTGCTCATGCTCTGTGTCTCTTTCTCTCTCAGAAATAAACGTGTTTTAAAAATATAAACAGAAAACCACAAAACGGTGATGGGAATTTCATACCTATCAATAATTAAATGTAAATGGACTCAATTCTCCAATCAAGACAGTGGTCGAACGGACAAAAAAGCAAAAGCCATAGATATGCGGCCTACTTAACACTTTAGCTTTAAGGACACATTCCTGCAAAAGTGCAGGAATGGAAAAAGGTATTCTATGCAAATAGCCCAAAGCAGGGGTAGCTGTACACGTATCAACGTACACTGTAAGCCAAAAACTGTCACAGGAGACAAATTCGTCATGTAATCGTTAAAAAGTAAATTGATCCCAAAATAGAGCGTTTGTAAACATTGATACATTCAACGTCAGAGCACATAAACGTATCAAGCAAATATTAACAGAGCTCCAGGGAGAACTAGGCAGCGATACAGTCACAGCGGGGGACCTCAGTGCCCCGCTTTCAACAACGGAGAGATCATCCAGACAGAAAAGCAGTCAGGAGACACTGGACTTCTACAACACGCTGGACCAGATGGACTTCACAGACATTTACAGAACATTCCATCTGTTCATCTTAAAAATAAAACAGCAAGTTATTTTACCAGCAAAATTAGTTTGTTCAGGAATAGCAGAAGAATTGCGATTTGGCACCCCCAAACTACTGCGAACCATAGGCAGAGTCTGAAAAACAAAGGAGAGGAACATTACAGAGGGAAAAGGAGGTAGGGAGGAGGGGCCACTTTGAGCCACAGTCTCTTGGGGGAAAGCCAGAGTTCAGGACGGTGCCCGGTTTCGCACCTGCCAGGCGACTGGTGGGCAAGGAGAAAACCCTCCTCCTGCCGAGGCAGTAAAGGGAACTTGGGCCCACCTGGGAAGACGAAGGAAGCTGTGATAGAACGCTCATGTGTGAGAGCGTCCCTCTAGGCCTTCCTGACTCCATTCTAAATCAAGTTTCCCTTTGGGGTGCCTGGGTGGCTCTGTCGGTTAAGCCTCCAATTTCAGCTCAGGTCATGAGCTCAGTGGCTCCTGAGTTCAAGTCCCTGGTCGGCCTCTGTGCTGTCAGCTCAGAGCCTGGAGCCTGCTTTGGATTCTGGTCTCTCTGCCCCTACCCTGCTTGTGCACACTCTCTCTCGTAAATAAATACAAACATTAAAAAAAAAAAAAAATCAAGATCTTTCTCCAAAAGCGTTAAGTGATCAAGAGTTGAGTTCTCTGTATTTAGTAATTTTTGTCCCTTGGGACCTTACCTGGTTATCCTGTCCCAAATCAGAGGGAAAGTGCAGAGCAGTTAGAAACCACTTAAGGTCACGTTTGAGTGACAAGGTTAGGAGGGAGAACGCTCAGGCATTGCCCATCCCAAGTCTCTATCTGGAGATTAGCTCGGAGCACTGAGCCCGCGTTACCTTACCGGGTCCATCATTTCTACAAAGGTTTGACAGGCCACGGGTACGAAACTTGAATGATACGGAGCAGAACTGAACGTAGGAGGGCAATTCCAAACTGGATTATGGTTCTCAACCCTGACCCTAGGCCTGGAGGTAGCCAGCTGAACGAAGGACCACGCTGGCTTTGCACAATCCGATTTCTACCCCTCCAGAGGCATCGACCCCCGTGCAGCAGGCAGTATTTGCCACAAGCAGGTAACCGAGGCCTGTGCACCTGCCCCCACCTCCTTCAGCCCACGAGTCAAGTGGTCACTGTTGGGCGGCTCGCTGCTGTGGCCGCGGCGTGGACCAGCTCTCCCCGCGGAGGTCTACCTGCAGTCACGTGCGCCGCCTCCTGCAAGTCCCCGGCTCAGGTGGCCACGGAGGGTGGATGGGGAGGGACAACGGGAGGCCTGTGATTTATCATAGATGGTGACAGGGACCGTGAAAGCTCCCAATCAGCGCTGCCCTCCAGCTGTGTGAGCATTGCTAGGCCCGTGGCAACGCCGTCCACTGCAGACGGGAGGGAGAGTGATGCGGATTACGGAGGTCCTCGTCTAGGGTCTGCCTACTGACACATCCTTTCGCTGGGATTCCCCGAGTGAGCTTTCCGAGCGGGGAATCAGAGGAACCGGCCTGACATTCTGGGAGGTGCCATCTCGTCCTGAAAGGGGCTCTTCTGAAAGAGAGATTGAATTTAGGCAAGGAAAACAAAGTGGGGGGAGGGCGGGGGGGGCGCGCAAATGTCACACGATCGGCAAACGTGGAAGTGTTCGGCTGAACCGGTGTGGCCGTGGTTGGAGAAAGTTTGACACAAGGTATGAGAGCACCTAGCTGGAAACAGCCTCATCCGACAGGTAACCCCCATAGACCTGCAGGTACCGTCAACAGTGGCATCTGGGACTGAAGACACTCTGTGACAGGTAACACCAAGGGATCTCCAACATCGTGAGCCTATCGGAGTTTCGGGGCACATTCAACAGTCGGACAGGGAGGAACAAGAAGTGACAGCAAGAAAAAGGCGTACTGGCCTGGTCTAGCTGAAGTGGACAACGAAGGCAAAGGAGAGAATTAAATTCCCTGATAACGTGCAGCCCGCTGACGGATCCTTGGGGCAGGCAGAGTGGGACATTCTCCTCCAGGAACCCTGTATGGTCTTTAGGTCATTGCCTTGCTAGAGGCCAAACGACCCGAACAAGCTTGACAGGAGCCACGCCTCCAGCATCCTGTAAGGCTTCTTTAGCATATGAAAATCCTTTTGGGGAGCGCCTGGGGGGCTCAGTCCGTGAGGCAGTCCAACTCTTGATTTCAGCTCTGGTCATGATCTCATGGTTTGGGAGTTCGAGGCCTGGTAGGGGTCCAGGCTAACAGTGCAGAGCTGGCTTGAGAATCTGTCTCTCTGCCCCTCCGGCACATGCTGTCTTTCTCTCTCCCCACCCCCCACCCCCCTCCCCCCCATACACACTGCCACCCGCAACATAAACAAACTTACAAACAAATCCTTTTGGAAACTTCCCTTGTCCTTACCTCCCCCTGCACCAAAGTATATGATCACTCACTCCTCTCAACCCCAGGGCAGCTCTTTCCACCCACGGGGCCTGCCCCTGGCTTTAATAAAACCACCCCTTTGTACCGAAAATGTCTCAAGAATTCCTTCTTGGCTATTGGTTCCCAAACCCCATTTTGAACCACATCATGGTCGCCTTGGGAGAGCAGTCTCATTCGGCTTCATGTGTTTCAGCTTCTGGGAATCTTTGCTTTCAGGTCACCGGATGCTGTGCGTCCACTCAGGGTTTGGCACCTTCTTCCATGTGATACGTGGATCCAAGCGTATGTTCCTCGAAGTTAGGCAGCACGAACATCCGTCCATAGTCCCTGATAGGGCCTTTCCTTGGGGTTGCAGAGTCTCTCTGGAGAGTTCTTTCCCAATACACGAAATCTCTGGGCTGCACATTATGACGACGTGCACATCGTGCCAGGAGTACCCCGTGGAAGACTGTCCTACCAGAGTGGGATTATTCACAATGGGTTTGCTTGCGCTTTTGCAAAACTGAAGTATATCCCTTTTTATTAGCTGTGGATCAAAAGCAGCAGAGACTAGGTGCATTGGATATCCTCACACAAAAAGAACAGATTCTCACTGAACTTCCAAAAATATACTGTCAGGAAAAATGAGAATATTTAATAAGAGTTTCAGAATTCTGGAGGGTTCAGGTAGAGAAAAAAAATATCTAAATGCTTCAGTCATTGTTAACAAATTGTTTTAAGTTATAGAGAGCTTAAAAGGAGAGGGGGGGGGAAGAAAGGCGAGGGGCCTTTACATGAGGAAGACAAAGCATTAAAGCAATCAGTTTTCATTAGTTTTAGAAATTCTTACCCAGCTTGGTGTTATGATCTTCAAGGAATCAAATCCCTGTATTCTAGAGCACCTGGCAAATTCCTTTCTCATGAACCTCCTTGAAGATGAAGCACTCCTGTAGAAACATTCGTTGTAAAAGCATCAGAACAAAACAGTAACCGTCAATGACAACGGACTTGAAAATGGCCACAGTTAAAGACCTGATAAGAGTTCACACACACAGGGGCGCTTGGGGGCGCTCAGTCCCTTAAGTGTCAACTCTCGATTTCAGCTTAGGTCATGATCTCACTGTTTGTGGGTTTGGGCCCCATATCGTGCTCTGAACTAACCCTGCGGAGCCTGCTTGCGATTTTCCCTCTCCCTCTGCCCCCACTTACGTGGGTGCGCACACGCGCACGCTCTCTCGAAATAAACATTAAAAAAAAAAAAAAAAAAAAAAAGAGGGGCACCCGGGTGGCTCAGTTAGTTAAGCATCCGACTTTGGCTCAGGTCATGATCTCACGGTTCGTGAGTTGGGGTGCTGCATGGGGCTCACTGCTCTCAGCCCAGAGACCACTTTGGATACTCTGTCACCCTCGCACTGTGTCCTTCATTCGAACCCTTCCCCCACTTTCTCTCTCAAACATCAATGTTAAAAAAAATTTTCTTAAAAAAAAAGTTCACACCTACACCTACAAAAAAAAAGTGATGCAATTGATAAGTAAATTTCGTTCATTTTGTGACATACATTTTAAAATTATGACTACTAACATTGTGCCAGGATACAGAATTTTTTAAACTTCGTGTAATTTTTGGAACGCGTATATTCACACCTATACAAACGCAAAATAAAGGCGGCTTAATATTCCTGATTTGACAATGCTTCCCATGTAATTTAACATAACAAATACACCTAATTAGTAGAACATCTCTCTTTTTATAAAGAGAGAACGTTTTGAGATGTTCCAGGGACCCTCTAGAAATTCTTATTAGTTTGAGGTCAAAAAAACTTAGTTTCAAATTTTAGAGAAGTTTGACAAGAATACCAAAAGGTTTGTGATGAGGGAGCATAAGGCAGGCTGAGGGCCCAGCACAAGCTAGCCCCCCCAGTCCCCTCCCCTCCCCGTGGGATGTGTGGGACACTCCTCAGACACTCCTGGCTGCCCTAGAACAGAGTACAGGACAGAAGACCAATGGTTAACTGAAAGAGATCACAGTCATACAGGACAACGTCTCCATCAGTTTACAAATGTCTTAGTAAATTACAAGAAAAAGGCAATCCTACCAATAGCCTGATCTCCAGAACCCTATAGACTCCGTTTCCCGGAGCCCCAACATCACCCTCCCCTCCATAGTGAGGTGGGGAACTAAGGCAAGAAGGGAATGGCAGGTAAAATTAAGTTTCGTTATAACCTGCAGCCCATTGGTACAGAGTAGAACATTTCTCCAGAAATCCCCTACTTTCCTAGGGTTAATGCCTTACTAGAGGGAAAACAACCTTAACGTGACAATGGCAAGGTCCCTGGCATCTTAAGAGTCCTCTTTAGCATATCAAAGTCCCTCTGGAGGTCTCCATTTTCTCTTTACCTCCCCCAACTCCACAGTATATAATCAGTCAGTCCTCACAACCCCAGGGCAGCTTTTTCTGCCCAGTGATCCTGTCCTCAGGCTTCAATAAAGTCACCTTTTCGGGGGCACCTGGGTGGCTCAGTGGGTTAAGCATCCAACTTCGGCTCAGGTCAGGATCTCCCGGTTCATGGGTTCAAGCCCACATCGGGCTCTGTGGTGACAGCTCGGGGCCTGGAACCTGCTTTGGATTCTGTTTCTCCCTCTGGCTCTCTCTCTCCCGCCCTCCCCTGCTCATGCTCTCTCTCTCTCTCTCTCTCTCAAAAATAATTAAGTGTTGAAAAAAAAATTGAATAAAAAAAAATCACCTTTTTTGCACCAAAGACGTTGCAAGAATTCTTTCTTGGCCATTGGCTGCGAATCCCCACCACTCCAAAACCCCATCATCTGCACACCGTTCAACTACAGTGGTTTTCTTCCTTCATCCTTATTGTCTCCAACGGTTACACTTTACATCCATTTAGAATTCTTAACCCTTAGAATCCTTAATTCCCAGCAAAAACTAAAACGTAAGCAATTATGGACTGAAATTTATGAATACGTTTCATTATTTCGAGAAACATGCTTTTCTCATAGAAAATTTTCTCAGCACATTTTACTAACAGACCCCAATATTTTG